ACAGCCATTCTTCTTCAGGTTCATCCTCGTCGCCAATTTGTTGTGTTTGCGATGGCCATAAAGATGCATAGTTGATTAAAACTTAAATTTATTATACATGAAATTCTTACAACAATGGCGGTCAGCCCGCCGACCTACTACAAAGTGAATGACGTCATGTGACCTCGTGCAAAGCAAGCAACCAGAAGCGTATATACTGTTTCGGCGTCACATACGTTCGAACCTAGACACAACATTTAATAGTTTGTGTGGTTATTTTCTCCTGTATATTTAATAGTTTGTGTGGTTATTTTCTTCTGTCTATTTTAATAGTTTGTGTGGTTTTTTCTCCTGTATATTTAATAGTTTGTGTGGTTATTTTCTCCTGTATATTTTAATAGTTTGTGTGGTTATTTTCTCCTGTATATTTTGATAGTTTGTGTGGTTATTTTCTCCTGTATATTTTAATAGTTTGTGTGGTTATTTTCTCCTGTATATTTTAATAGTTAGTGTGGTTATTTTCTCCTGTATATTTCAATAGTTTGTGTGGTTATTTTCTCCTGTATATTTAATAGTCTGTGTGGTTATTTTTTCCTGTATATTTAATAGTTTGTGTGGTTATTTTCTACGGTGTATTTGATAGTTTGTGTGGTTATTTCTCCTGTATATTTAATAGTTAGTGTTGTTATTTTCTCCTGTATATTTTAATAGTTTGTGTGGTTATTTTTTCCTGTATATTTAATAGTCTGTGTGTGTTCTTTCTCCTGTATATTTAATAGTTTGTGTGGTTATTTTCTCCTGTATATTTGATAGTTTGTGTGGTTATTTCTCCTGTATATTTAATAGTTTGTGTGATTATTTATCGTGTATATTTAATAGTTTGTGTGGCTATTTTCTCCTGTATATTTAATAGTTTGTGTGGTTATTTTCTCCTGTATATTTAATAGTTTGTGTGGTTATTTTTTCCTGTATATTTAATAGTTTGTGTGGTTATTTTCTCCTGTATATTTAATAATTTGTGTGGTTATTTTCTCCTGTATATTTTAGTAGTTTGTGTGGTTATTTTTTCCTGTATATTTGATAGTTTGTGTGTTTTTTTTCTACTCTATATATGATAGTTTGTGTGGTTATTTTCTCCTGTATATTTAATAGTTTGTGCGGTTATTTCTCCTGTATATTTGATAGTTTGTGTGGTTATTTTCTCCTCTATTTTTGATAGTTTGTGTAATTTTTTTTCTCCTGTATATTTTGATAGTTTGTGTGCTTATTTCTTCTGTATATTTAATAGTTTCTGTGGTTATTTTCTCCTCTATTTTTGATAGTTTGTGTGGTTTTTTTTTCTCCTGTATATTTTAATAGTTTATGTGGTTATTTTCTCCTGTATATTTTAATAGTTTGTGTGCTTATTTTCTCCTGTATATTTTGATAGTTTGTGTGGTTATTTTCTTCTGTATATTTTAATAGTTAGTGTGGTTATTTTCTCCTGTATATTTAATAGTTTGTGTGGTATATTTGACTGTTGGAGAGTCAGACGATGATAAATTGGTAGATAAGACACCCGAGAAACGCACAGATGAAAAAGGTGTGTTGTCCTACAATCTAATTAAAATCATATTACAATTTATTTTCTTTTTTCGGGGTATTTTTTATCTGCAGTGTAATCTAACAAGTTTTCTACCCAGTTCCGTTCTAATAACTTTATGCAGAAGCTTTTTCTTGAAAACTTGACCAAATGTTGAGTAGCGAAATCCAAAGTATAAATGTCTAAAAATTTAACATATGCAAAGAAAAGCACTTTATTCTATAACCCCTACTCAATTGATCGATAAGCTTCTACATAATATAGCCTATTTAGACGACTATTTCAGTGGCGTTTATATGGGCGACCAAGGGCGGAGGTGGGAGGGTTATGCCCCCCCCCCCCCCCCGACCCTCCGTTTCAATTTTTGTCATTGTACAGCTTCTGTGGAACTCCCGGGGAAATTTTGTGTCCCCTTCCCGGCCTCCTCACCTGATGTTTCCCAGTAACGCCACTGACTATATTCCTTCAATGGTGGTTTTTCTTTACAGCTGAAGGCGTATTTTCATCTGAGAACGAGGCTAACGATTTCTTAAAAGATAAAAGAGAGCCAGGAAGCCGAAAGTACTATAAATACGGAAGATTCATGCGCATGGCCCTTCCTAGAAAACATCATTATGGCAGATACGGTGGTAGTCATAGATACAGATATCATGGACATCATGGCGGAAGTAGTAGTGAAGAGGAAGAAGGTGGTTACTATGGTAACAGATATGGCGGTGGTCGTTATGGCGGGGGAGGATTCGACTGGGATGATTAAACAATAAAAAAAAAATGCAGAGGTTTTTCTTCAAATCATTAGGCGAAGGGGCACAATAGCCCATCCAAATTTTGCGGTTTTTTCATGTAAAAATTTAAAACCAGCCCCTACTTCGGCCTTTATCTGCAACTTTGAGAGTAAATTTCAGGTTACAGTAAGGTTCAGGGCAGCATTCATAATGCATACTTTCAACTTTGGTCGTTGTATTTATTAAATTCCAACGCCAACCTTTTTGAAATTCGCTCACATCAGCTGCTTTCTGGTCGCTCTTCAGTTGAAGTTGGTGACAATTATAAGTCCACGAGCCAAATTTGAGGTGGCAGGTGATTTGGTCTGGATGCTGTCGTTTCTGGGGACATTGAGCTGTAATATGAACTGGTGGTATATAGTAAATGGAACCATCTGAATTAACTACTATTAGTACATCATCTTCTATCTTCATGTCACTGTAACAATATTCAAAGAAATGTGCCAATCATTATGTCAGTGGCAGCGCCAGGCTCCTGGAACTCGGGGTATAAAATGGACAGTCAGACCGTAACTGGGGGTGGGAGGCGGTCAACTATCTATGGTAAGATTCCAAACGCAATCGCAATCTCTGATGCTGAGGGAATCTGCCCCAATACAAATTTTGAAAAATAGAATTGATTTGTTGCATTCTGACGCATATTTTGTGTAAAAACGGGTACAAATCATATTTTGAAATTTCTTACAATAATCATTTGCTTATATATTTGATCTGAGCGGACGGAATCGACAATCCAGTTAATTGCATTTGCGATTGTTCCGTTTAGATGCCTTGAATATCCAGTCGACCGGGGCCAACTTTTAAAGATAAGATGTTTCTGCCAATATTTCCCTCTATTTTTTGACGTCCAGCTTACTGATTTCGAAAACACAGAATTCCCCTTATAATACTTGAAATCACAAAAATACAAAAAATATATACCCATTGTACAGCTTCAAGTCTGGTGTTGGTAGGAAATCAGTACTTAGTCTTACAGAATCAATGCCACCATATTCTTTTTTATCCCATTGCATTCTTTTTTCGGTCCATCTAAGCTCCAACCAAACTCTCAATTCTATTTCCTGGCGGTCATAGTCCTGCAAAAAATAATTAATAGTCCACAATGAATCAGGCATTAGTCCACTAGAAACATATTCGATACGATTTTACAGATGGGCCATCACGAAGGTCTCTTTAAAGATGGGTTTCCTTATTTTTTAGTGTCAAGTTAAGCAAACTATTTGATTAATTTGTGTTTCTAATGAATTATCACGTATTCTTAGTCATATCATTATGTTCTTATTGCATATAATTAAGAGTTTTAACCAATCATAAATGTCCTTGTATGTACAGTCTGAATAAACAAGAACAGGCGTTTTGACCTTTCTTGATCGGTCACTCATTGGAATTCTGCTGATAATTCTCTTCTAATTTAGCTAATTATGAATTGACATGTGAGACAAACTGGTAATTTCTAAAGTCATTAGAATTTCACAAATGAAAATAAGGGAACCCATCTTTAAAATTCAAAATTAGCTCAATGCCAAGTTTCATAGTTTGGAAGTAGTTTCGTATGAGTTCGGAAATAGTTCATTGCACAGTTTTACATTTTAGAATCAGGTTTCAGACAATTACAAAAATAAACTCATTGCCACGTTTTCAAATGCAGATAATTCATTGCACATTTTACATATCAGAAAAGAACAGTTGCCAAATGTCACAGCATGCCCAAGGTTTTACAAGAATTACATGACAGTGGTCAATTATAAGGTAGACTAGATTTTTACTTACAAAATCTAAGATATTGATAAGGCTAAGTCCTATATTAATTCGAGTAGTGTCGTTGTTATTATCAGGTAAAATACTCTGTATAGATGTACTCTTCAGAGCTGCCAATAACCTTTCCCTTTGACACGTCACTGTAATATAACAAAAACAAATCAAAGGGATACATTCAGTATGTAGACACGTGATTCTGGTCGAAATATAATTGTGGTTCTTCTATCAGCAGAAATTTAGGAAGCTCTACCAGTGAATGTGTAAATATTAATACAAGGATAACTTACCTGCCAAAATCAAAACACTGGAAATTATCAACAAATTGAACATATTCAATGTCATCCTTATGGTCTGAAACAAATCCTTCACTACACAGAAGTAAGATAAATTCAGATGCTATGGTACTAAACCAATTATTTTGGCACTTATATATTACAATCTAAATAGATGAGCCCATCACCTCATTATAGCCCGAGAGACTCTGACTGCATGTCTATAGGACGGGAGGAAAGGGGCATGGGGAGGATGTAGGAATAGCCGAATAAAGAGAGGGGCAGGGTAGACCGTCAAACGGACATAGTCAGTAGTGGGTTCTCATCTCGGTAGGCGTGTGAAAGTTATCTTTCCTCCTTATTCCAGTCGAGCAATCTGCAAATGCGTATGGAATACTCTGAACAATACCACGAGGTTCGGCCAATCATTCGACAGGACGTGTTCACAATGGTAAGCTATTACAACCTTCATCTAAGCTCGCATTAGCTTGACATTGTGAACTATAAACGCATAGTTAGTTACAGTCGAAACTATCGGACTATAGAAATGTTCTTGTGAAGTGAAAACAATTTCCGTCTATTATCCACTATAATGTATATGATAATTGCGAGTCAAATGTCATGGTATTTCATTGTTTATTGAAGAGGGGACGAAATGGTGTGAACCAAAACATAGGATAATATATAAAATAAGTACTAACGACCCGAAACGAAAAACAAAACTCCATAACAACATAATGGCGAAACATTGGTAGCAGCTAATGAACTTTTCACATGAGGAAGTATATATCCATTATATGTGAGGAAGTATTTCATAATGACAAGTGGTATCAGGTGTCTAGAAGCATACCCTGCCTGGTGCAGAAAATAGACTTTCATCCTTCGAATTATTATATTTTGTATAAAAAGTATTATTTACAGAAAAAAATACCTTCTATACTATACTTTGTATAGTGTTCTTTTCATATTTAAAACACCATCAATATGCATTATTATAAAGTTATCTTATCAAGCTTGGTAGGGAGCCGCGGTGGCTCAGTGTTATAGACTGAAGTTCCAGGGTTCAATCCCGGCATTGGTCGAGATAATACCTTCGGATTGTTAAATTCGGTTTTCCCCTGTCAGTGATGCAGATAAGAGGGGCTGACATGGAAAAAGCGTCTAGTCGTTCGGATAGGACAATAAACTGAGACCCCGTGTGCTACAGGCTGTGCACGTTAAAGATCCCTTGGCAGTTGGAAATCGAAAAAGAGCAGGCTTATGCCGCTGTATTGGCAAAATGTCCCTCATCGCATCCTGCATGGCGTTGCCCGGCTTCATTAGCCCACATGGTGCAGAAAAGTAAAACTCCATTCACTTCACTTCACTTCTTATCAAGCTTGGTGACCTTTCTCACCATGGGGAAATAACCCCCTGTATAAAGTAGGTCTGGGAATAAAAGAAGGCTACAGTGTTTTTATAGATCCGACGTTATCAGCCTGTTTTGCTGAATACTTCTTTAAACCAGAACTGGAATATTCACATTGAGCTATCATTGGTTCAAAATCTCACTATCCAATCGGCTATTAGTATCTATCTACTGAGTTAATTTCAACCAGAATGACACTGATTGATGATAATTGGTCTAATCATGCGGCAAATTCTGAACTTTACAGTCACAGTTTGAAAAAAAATCATCGAATTTCTGCAAAAATTGAGATTTTTAAATCAAAATTTTGAGGACTATTTTGCAATAAGGTTTTTCGTCTGTTTTTAAATATCAGGAAGTCAGAACCATTTAGTTTTCAATTAATAAGATAAAATACAGTACTATTGTCAGTTTTTTGAATGTCTATATTTCTTCTCGATCAACTAGGATACAGCTTGAGTACTGTTCTAACTGATCATAGTCTTAATCATTCAGACTGAAATCGTAGATAATTGACCATTTAAAATCTCAATGAGCTTTGTTTATTTTATTGTTATAAATTTCATTTTTGGCCAGTAGAAGTGGAACTCTCCCGGCGTTTACTTGTATCAGATCACCATCAAAACATGACATACTTCTGCTTCAACATTCCCCGATATTTGGAAATTTCTGTTGCACAATCGCAAGCAGATGAACTCGGAACTCAACCCAATTTTCATGTACAACTGCATCATAGTATCCAAAGTGGTTATTCTCCGTAATGTTTGTGACATAGTAATTGCATCATTCGAATGTCACCGAGATCCTTGATTGCGTCACAACAAGTCGGTCAGTGTTATAAGTATACTCGGTTAATGTGATTTTCCAAACATAACAAAACGTGATTCAGATCTCGTACATTAAAGATCACGATTTCGATTTCGAAAAAGGGATGTAAAACTCCATAAAAGAAGCGTTAAAAGGTGCTAGTTAACGATCCCATGACAGTTGAATACGGAAGAAAGAGTAGACTAATGTAGAAATACTTGGAAATACAAATTGGACCGGAAAAATAGGATGTTAAACGTCATTCTGTTTTGAGATTCAGTAAATCTAGTTCGGAGTGATTGTCTATTATTAATGATAATGAAACTTCTGTATTTGAATCAACAGTTGGTCACTTCTATATTTCAGTTGTGAGATCTTTAACGTTCTCAGTCTGTAACATGTGGTCTCGGTTTATTGTGCCTGTTGTCAATTTCAGCCCTACAATCATTGACAGAGTGAATCAGAAAGATATCATGTACACCAATACTAGACAGTGGCTTTTCTATGAATGATTAGTTGAGGAAACCCAACAGGGGCCAAAAAACTGTATAATGTAAAAAAAAAAATGTATAATAAGAAATTTACATTTTGGAGTGAGGGCAGGTCCAGCCTTTTTTTCTGGAACCGGGCCCGCCACTAATTCTTAGGTTTCCCACTGATATATATAGACAACACCAGACGATATAAGGGCTAATCTAACTAACCATTTCACTGTTTATCAATATTGATGATGATTCAATCAGAATGACTCATATATAAACTTCCTAATTCTCTTGAATACCGGTTCACTTCATAACATATACTAATACTTAGTACAAACCATTCACTTCATTACAGATACTAATACTTGGTAGGAACCGTTCAGTTCGACCATTTTCAGGCTCTGAAGTCTATTCAACAGTCCCTATAGTGGCGGTTCTACCACGGAGGGTGGAGGGGCTAGCCGTGGTACCGCCAGAATTCAGGATGGCCAGGCATTGGACCCGACGACTTCCAAATTGTTATTATCAATTTATTATGCAAACAAGCACTTGTGACTCCCAGACAATGTTCACCTAATGGTTCTGAGTATCAGTTCACTTAATTACAATATATTATATTGTTTTATCATTTACATACGCGAACAATTCTGACAATTCTATGACCCTTATTCTGCCCGGTGCAAACAGGTACGTTTCTACGACGTGGGTAGGGTGGGAGTCAGGGAGTACCATCCAGAGGGAGGTGCCATCAGAATACAGAGTGGCCCAGCTTTGGCTCCCAATTTCACTATCGATTTACACAAAGAAAGTGCCCTCGTGGCAATTATGTCACCCCTAGATTTGAAAGATTAACGTTTTCCAATATCGAACTCTAGAATCAAGATTAAATACCACTATTCAGCTTCACTTTCAATGTTTCAATCTGATCATCCGCCTGTAGACCCAGCTGTAAGCGGACACGGACAATCTGGACAAGATCAATGCCAGGATTTCCCAGGATCAACTAGTAGATGAGATCCTGTTGAACGTAAGTTGTAATAAAATTGGTAAAAAAAAAATTATATTAAAATTGTGTAAGATTTGGCTACCAAAATCCGTAAAGGATTAATTATTTTTTTTATTTTTTTTTTTTATCAATAATCGATTTATCCTATTGTTAAATGCGCCGCAAGTTTCTGATGAATGGGAAATGAACTATAAGGAGTTCACGAAGTTTCCGCTTGTGACCAGGTTACTTCTACCATAGCCCGGATATTGCTACTGGTCCATTCGTTCGTCATATCAGGAAACTGCTCGAGTTTATAACTTTCTTATAATTTTAATTCGATTCATTACTAAAGGAACCATAGAACAATTAACATCGACATCAAACAAAAGAAAAACTAGTGATTTTGTGGTATTTTTTGAGATTTTTTTGAGAAACTTAAGAAGGAAATCAAAAGAAACTCATCTAAAATTCAAAGTTAGAGAAACGGAAAGACTTGCACAAAACTTCAAAAGCTGACTGAAACATCAAAGAAGAATATTCAAGAGGAAAAGATCAAAGATAAATCAGAATGCACCGCTATATATATTTAGTGTTGTTTATTTCGTGTATAAATATTGTTGTGTCACGTGATGAGGATTATTATGTAAGTATAAAAGTTTATATTTAATATTTATTTTGTCCTCAACTTTTTCAATTGATATCAGATTACTTAACCAAACCAAACCAGACCTTACCAAACCAGACCTTACCAAACCAGACCTTACCAATCCAGACCTTACCAATCCAGACCTTACCAAACCAGACCTTACCAATCCAACAAAGAATCAATACTTATCATCATAAAGAGTTTTTGAAGATGAAGAGAATCAGTAACTCACGCCACACAACCATGGGCGAATTTCATTCAGACCAGTTCTGAAGATCTGAACTACCAAACCAAAAGTAACATCCTATTGATCTTGATCCTTCTACCACGACTACCAACAGCTGTCACCCCCAACCAACCAAAAGTTTCATTTGTAAAAATTCGTCTTGATTTATACAGAGTTAACGTGTCTTCAAACCTTTATAACATTAGTTCAAAAATATGGATTCGTCGACCAAGAAGATTGATTAAAACAAAATACAGCGTGAAAGTATATCTCAAGACATTGCCTATTTCCCCCCCGGGCCTGTACAGTTGGGAGGATCAAGCTCTCTCTTTTCCAAATCTTTGTTTGAAGTCATTGAATTTTTATTCAGGAGTACATGAAGAAGTTTGGTTTTATGGACAAATTACCAACAGAACTCGGGAAAGAAGAACCAGCTAAAATGGTGGTGGGGAGACAAAGAAATTCAGCTATAATGTAAGTTTTCATTCACTCATTCACTCATTTATTCATTGTCCTAGACATTAGAAGATAGAGATTATCTCATTGTACACGGTAATACGTTGTCCGTCTGTTCATTCATCGTTTTCTTTTGTTTCTCCAGAGCCTTCCAGATGTATTATGGGTTACCATTAACTGGTCGAATAGACCACGCCACCAGAGAACTGATGTCAAAACCTCGATGTGGGGTACCAGACTTACCCAATAAAGTACAGTATCGTAATAAAAGACAGTTATCGCCCTTGCCTTTTACTCATCTTGGCACCAAATGGAACAGTAATCGGGTTACGTGGAAAATCAACAGTTTTACCAGACAGTTGAGTGAACAGGAACAAAGGTAGATAATTACAGTTTTATGATCAGAATGAAGCATTTCACCAATTACCAGTAGCTGGGGGTACTAAAGGATTCAGATTATGGGGAGGGGGTCATTTGTAACCCCATTGTGTTTCTAAGAAATTTATGGCTGCTACACGTTTTCGCCCTAAAATATGTGTCCGATACACACAATGTGACCCTCCACGTGAAGCTTGAACATCTGGTGCTTCTACAGCGATTAGCATTTTGAATCTCAAGTACGAAATTATCCCCCCTCCATCGTTTAGTTTGTCAGCAAACTATTTATAGACCCTAGTTCCAGCAGACTCGCACTGTCACTACCATCTGTATGTCATGTCATATCAGTTTGCTCAGGAAATGATTTATAAATAAAACCGGAACATGCTTACATCCTTGTTATTGGAATTTTCATGTGTAAACTTATTAACGAGAGAGTGTGTCAGCTTTATAAGGCATTGTCCGAAACCTCTGTCTCTATTCTTGCCTCTGTTGGCTATAGTAACTATTACGAGGCTTGAATAGAGGCAGATATTTCGGTCTACACACGGCAGTATTTGGGACTCAATACTTTTTCAATTTAGGTTTTTCCATTAATGTCAATTGCGGCAGCATCCTTCATTTGATTATGTATTTAAAACTGGGAATATAACAGTGGGGTGACAACTTTTGAGGTTAAGATTCAAAATGTGCAACATTTTTGAAAAAAAGAAAGACTTGATACATTCTGACACAGAAATGTATAAAAATCATGTTACATTGTATTGAATTTGTTAAAATTAAGGTGGAAGTACAGTTAGGGGCACAATCCCACCACTAGGATATGATAATTGTTTTAAATATAATGATGACTTAGGAATTTTCAGTTGTCAATTGTGACATAATTCCTAATATTATTCGATAGTTGAGTTGGTGAATTTATTCACTTGTATGTCCGGTGTTAATCATTCAATTGACTAGTACTTAATACACCATGACTCGAGATTTTATTCCATTTCTTTTGTTTTATATATTGATATAAACTCTAATTCTATTGTTTGGGGCGTAGACTGCTGGGGTGTTCACGATTCTAATGATGACGCAACCTGGTCGAACTTTGACTGAAAACTATTTAAAGAACTATCTCTTTAGATCAGTTTTGCTATCGAAATATGAACATTAGTATTTCAAGTACTAAATACACCATGACACGCCATAACGTCTTTTCTTTTGTTTTATAAATTAAGTATGATTCTATTATTATGGTTTATATCAAGGGCGTAAACTGAAAGGTTCGCGTGTCAACCTTGACGCAACCCAGTCGAACACTATTTAAAGAACGACTTCTTCAGTTCTTAGTCAGTTTTGTAAACGAAGAATTTCAAATACACAATGACACGCTATTGTACCTCTTTTCTTTTGTTTTATAAATTATAAAGTCTAATTCTATTGTTATGGTCTATATCAGGGACGTAGATTGCTGGGAAGTTCGCTACTTCTGGACACGTCTTCAGATCAAAGAGATATTGACGTATCACTTATACACGCGCCCAAATAAAAAGAATGTGAACGCAGTATGAATATAAATATTTCAAACGACTTCAGATTAGTACTCTGAAGAGTATTTTCCATCTTCTTTGGTCCAATGGATTCAGAAAGGATTTTTTTTTCAATTTTGCAGGTCGGCGTTTTACAGAGCGTTTAAACTGTGGTCAGATGTGACTCCATTGACTATACAACAAGTTAGTGGTGGTAAGGCAGATATGGAGATATCATTTGAAAGATACGATCATGGTGACAATAGCCCGTTTGATGGAAAAGGTAAATGTTATTTAAATCATTTGACTAGACTAGGGTTCCTCTAAGTTTACACTAAGTTATTACTTATTTCTATTTAATCTAAACATTAGTGCACAATGCTGAAACCCTGTTCCAGTGTATACTGTTGAATAGTAAATTGCTATCTTTCAAACTCCCTAACTCCCTACAGTGAGTGGGATGCCGACAACTCAACTATCCCAAGTATTTCGGTGGTCTTTTCGAAACTTCCTAAAGGAATAATACACCACAATTGATTTCAGAGCTAAAGCTTTCACAAAAAACCCTAAAGATCTAACTTATGCTCATTTTAAGCAAACAATACGCAATTTTCTCGAAGTGTAGACGCAAGAACCGATACCAATTGTCCAAATTCATTAGGGACATAACTTGACTGAAGATCTCACAACGTGAAACTCTGGGTAACAACATGTTTCAGGTTCTATTTTACTATTTCTATATATACTTTCTATTTAGGAACAGCCACTGGTAACACATTGGCCCACGCCTTTCAGCCAGGAACTTCTGATATTTCTGGAGATACCCATTTTGATGATGATGAAGTATGGACGGTCAACAGTGACCAAGGAACAGATCTGTATTATGCCGCAGCTCACGAATTTGGGCATGCTCTAGGGTTAGGACATTCCAACAGAGAAGAGTCTTTAATGTACCCTCTGTATCGAGATGCTTCCAATCTAAAATTATCTATGGATGATATTAGTGGCATACAACAACTTTATGGTAAGTTACCTACATCAACATTTCAAGAACATCATGAAAATGATTGATACTATGTTCTTGGGCTTTGGTGAAAAATACTGAAAATATTCTCTTGGCTGTGGTGTAAAAACGAATTTATTTGATGCAAATATGAACCAAACTGAATTCTTCATAGTCCATGAATCCATACATGACATGAAAACTCATTCCATTTCAATTCTACTCTGCTTATATACTAAATGATTTGTAACATATATATTGTAGGTTCTCAAAGACGACCGTTCAGACCAACAGCTCGCCCTACTCGCTTACCTCGTACATTTAGACCATCCTTTACCATTGGACCAAGACCACGACCACGACCACGACCCAGAACCCGCTTTACCATGGGTCCGAAGTATACTATCAGACCGGCACGGACTACTACTACGGAACTACCGACCACTACATCCAACCCAGAACGATGTTATATCCAGATAGATCAGATTCTTGAAGGTAAGATATAAATTAACAGAGTACAGTCAGTGTCGTTTGTATGAGTCATTGAGTGGAGGTTCCGAGTGGAGGTAGCAGAATTGTTAGGGGGACAAACAGCTTCATGAATAAGAACTCTATGATACGAAATTTGAAACTGGTCTACCCCAGAAACGCTAATTATACAGTTGTCTCTATATTTGTTTTCCCAGTTCATAAACCCTAATTGCATTTCAATTTTCACAATGGAGATTCCACTTTTGGATTGTAACGAGAGAAAACAGTTTAAGTTTTGAATAGTTAAACAGATAGAACTAATTTATTTTAACTGATAAAGGAGAATTCACTCTACTTTACACCATCAATGACTAATATTAATTGTTCAGCTGTACCATTGAAACCGGAAGTGATCACACCACCCTTATTTTGTTCATTTGTTCAAATCTCCAATTAGAAAGTTAATTAGTCGCTTTAAGTTTATCCCATAAAGTTCATTGACATTATTAATTAGTTAGGAAGGGCAGGGAATATAGTTCTAACAAGAGGTAGAGCTGGTGAAATGAGTGGTTTAAGGATATGATGTTGTTTTCATTTCAAAAACAGAACAGAAGAACAAAGGGTATGCCATGGGATTACAAGCGTTGTGTCTTTCAATAGGAATGAGGGATGGGGCAGATAAATAGTTTTATGAAAACAGTGTTTAATAAAGACAGCAATGAGATCAGTGGTTTCTCGGCAGCTTTCGACTACGTGTATTTTGAACGAGCCTGAAGTTCCAGTACAAAATTTTAAACTTTCAGGTTCTGATGGAACATATTTTGTGTTTGCAAATGATGTTGTACACATTGTTAAAGATGACCTCCACCAACCAATGCTAGTAGAGGAAGTGTTTCAATCAGCACCAAGAAAACCAGATTTAGCTTTTACAACTCCTAATAAAGACAAAGTGTATATTGTAAAAGGTATGGTATAAATACAGTCCAATTTTGTTTGGATTATGAGTTCTATAAGTTGTCAGCCCTGAATTCATGCAATCTTTACAGACATACATTATGTTACACTTTTGATTAGAGCAGCTACTATCAGGTTTTACATCCTGTTTGTAAATTCTATATCTAATATCCATTAAACTTTCAAGTTTTATGCAAAGTCTGTTTCTATTGACCTGAAGATTGGTTTTGTTTTCTTGTCCTCAGATTCGTCAGTATGGAGATATTCCACTCAATCAACATTACAACTAGACGAAGGTTACCCGATACAGATTAGAAATGACCGTTTCCCTGAAAAACCCAGATTTGTTCTTTCGTTTATGGATGATTTCGGTCGCGCGAGAAGTTTAATATTTGGGGTAAGTTATACATTAACTTAACTACTTAAATATTATATTGTTTCTCATAGATTCAGGCCGGTAGCCAGACTCGATTGTTCAAAGGGGCAATTAATATATCTAGGGGGGCAATGGTGTATGGTGTTTAGTTGTAGTATTGGAATTAGTCGGTTGTCAGAATCTTTTCAAGGACAATCCACTTTTTCCAACCCCTGTAGCTACGAATCTACAAAGATTATAAGAACGAAAGACAAGACAGTTGGGACAAGAAAATATTTACACGACTGTACACGTTAAAACTTTGCTTGTATTTTTGTTTAAAAGTTGGAAAATCGAAAATTACGTCCTCTACGTATGTCTAATAATAGCTGATAGGAAGATATTTTTAGACGAATACATCACTTTAAAACTATTATCCTCGAATTATCCTTTATCATCAACATGTTTCCGTTAAAAGCGGGATTTAGACAGGAAAACTTATAACGATCTACAATTCAAATTTAATATCAATGACCTTCGAACACGTGTCAATTTACTGCTTCCGGTGTTGATCATCTCGTCTGGATATCCGTCTCAATCAGTGCTAATTGTATACATCCGCCTAAACAGACTCGCACTTGAATTGATTTGGGTCACGATTCAAAATTATGAAACATTACAAAAAGGGTTAGATTCTATTTGCTGGGGATGGACCCCTTGTAATCCCCATCCTAACCAAGTCTACGTATCAATTATCAATTAGCCGACCTTTGCCCTAACAGGATTATCGTCATACATGATGTGTAGTTGATGACTAGACCAATAATTTCATTGTGACAATACCATAAACAGGCCTGCTCGTGTGCATTTTCTGATTCGAACCCGGATGTGCACAAATTTTTAGACACGAATACATGATGTGACGATCGACTATTGATGAAAAAACATAATGACGAATTAAATAGTAAAACTGTGGGGTTATTACTTTCAAGCAATAAGAATATATGTTGAAATATGGGTTAAAGGTCGTCAGCGTCTATATCAGTGGCTCATCTACCATAGGGATTGGTTGAACACAGTCCACAGTATTCCCACCCCCAGCAAAGTACCAAATGTATCAAAATATAGAATAATAATCAACTAATCAACCAGCAATTTATAGTGAAATAACAACTACAGACTGAAAATACTAGATTCTTCCATTCGAGGGGGTCTCAGAATGCAGGAAGGCAAATGATAAAAGATGTTTTCTGTGGGAGGGGCCCAACTTATCTAGTTGAGCCACTGATCTATTCCACTCCATAATGACGTTTAACCCACTTAAGATCAACTTTGTCTATTTGACTGCGATTGACCAGTTTTCATTACGAAGTCTAATTTGTTTTTCAGTCAACGAAATGGTGGGAATATGATTTTGATGATGTTAGATATATGTCTATATTTTCCTATGATATCGAGTATAATTTCTATAACATGCCCCGAGATATAAGATATGTTATACAGAAGAGTGATAACAACATGTTTTATTTGATAACAGATCACAGGTAGGCCATGTTATATATTTCTCATGTATATATTCATTTATATATTTGTAAGGAGCTGAAACTGACAAATAAATCTAATAACGATTCGGTCTCCAATTTGCTATGAATATCTCTTCAATATAATATAAGAGAATGTTGAATGGTAGGCAAACTCACTCATATCGCAACCGACGTTCCTTACATAACTAAATTCTATTGATCTTAAATTCATTAGAGTCTTTGGCCTTGGCCAGTAAGTTGAAGATTGGCCCCGGAGACAATCCTGCCCACTAGCAGAGTAATTTACCCATTGATGTGTCATACATATACCAAGTAAACAATATTAGATTCTCTCCGATATGGTATACGATTTAGACAATGAGGTATATTTTGTTGTAGATATGATATATTAAACACCAATAGAAGAAGTATTATAGAGAACGAGGGAGATGAAGGATTACCGGATGTTTTAAATAATGTTTGTAACATCATACAGAGAAATACTGCCAGGTAGGCATACATCAATTCTATGCCCATTATACTTTGTGCTCAATGGTGGAGCCAAATGTAAAAATGGCTCCGCCACTGTTTGTGCTCTTATATTATGACCTCTTTGTCGAGCTGACGGTGGGACATGCAATGAGGTTAGGGTTAGACCCTTTTCCATGTCCATGTGTTCACTATGTGTCAAGTAAAGTACCTAGCTCATCGGGTGTGACAGGCCATGTATTATAAGTTAGACAGCAAAACATTATTTCATATTCATCTCAAAGCATCTATATCTATAAATAAAATGAAATCAAATCACTTAGACGTCGTTATTCTTTTATTTCAGTATTGGGAGAATAGATTTGAAATCTTTAACAGTTTGGTTGCTGGTGTGTTTGTGGATGTTTGGGAGGTTTTATTGATCTCTAAAACTCGAAACTCTTACAGAGGCTACAAGAGATGGTTTGGAATTATCCTCAGGAAAAAATCATATTATTTACCAATACAGTCAGCCAATATTGCTCATGCTGACAAAATACTTCAAATATATTTTGTGTTTCTCTCGTTGCTTCATTCCGATTTCTCGTCAGATGTCTGTGATTCCTGTAATTGTAGAAATGTGCTTATTGCATAAGTTGCTTATAATATCCTTGTGATAGCTACGTCATAAAGCTTACCTTTAATGTAAATGCAGGAACCACAGACGTCTGACTGGAAATTGGAATGGTTTAAATTGATGCTGTCAATAGTTGCAAAACCTCTTTATAATCCCTTAAACAATTTTTATCCGTCTTTCAAGATATTTTTTGCTCAACTGCAAAATTGCTCATTCATTTGAGAGGTATGGCACAACATTATTACTTTTTCAGAACACCTTATACTTCTCTGTGATAGGACTTTTCAATATTTTCGAGAGTTTGAATGGCTAATGATATATAAGGCAGGGCATTAATAAAGTACTCAAAAAAAAGGATTAACTCTACTGCAACAATATTTGTATGACTTATAACCATGTATCTTCACACTTAGATGCTATTACGAATCTGCCTTATACCTTGACTGCAATGGTCATCTTTCAGGTATGACAAAAGTTTTTAAATGAATCGATTTGATTGGATTGTAAGCATGCAAATACAGCCAATCAGAGGCCGCGGCAGAATAAAAGTGCGAAGTTGTAATAGCTATACATTGTGAGGATGATAATCATGCTGAATAACGAAATATTACTATGTTCTAATGATATTGGATATAAATTAGTTTAATGAACGTGTGTGAC